ACGGAGGCTCTTTCTTCGCAGGATTTTGACCGTTTCACTCCGTTCTTTCGCCATTTCCCCACTATATAGCGCCCTACTAGCATTTTAGGCCGAGCACCAAATCATCGTGCCAACTGCCTTAAGGATTTATTTTGTTGTGTTTCGCTTCCTGGAACTTATGGAGAGATGCCAGCAATCACATTCACCTTAACAGCGCTTTCCAGTTAACTCTGAATTGCAGTGAACGCCGCTGTAAACCGCCGCTTGGTGATTTACTGCCGAACCACCACCCACCAAGAGGATTTTGATGTAACTCTCGAACACATATCACTACAACACTCTGTGTCTTCAATTTAGTCCGTTTCTATAAAGCTTCACTACAAAACCTAACTCAACCGTGCTAGTGAAATCGTGCAAGTAATAACCTGTAATATCTACTATGTAATTCTCTCTTGCAAATAGGCCCACCTTATGCAATAATCGATTTTGAAGCAGCTAATATCATAGAGACTGACACATCAGAAAGTATGATATCATTATCACGTTTTCGCTTCTTTACTTGAGTAAAGTAAGTATTCTCCTGTTGAATAGGCATCTACTAGCCTTGCGCAAACCTCCGCCAAGTCGTGAGGATCAGAAGACAGGCGCAGGTTTCGGCTTTCTTTCCGCGCGTAAATGAGCCCGCTGTCGACAGTGCTGTGTAGGGGGAGGTATAACGTTTCACTGCAAAACCTCATGTCGTAGTGACCTTCTCCTCCCCGTCGTATTGTAACCAGCATCACAGCCTTGCTAGCATTTCATGCAGTTCAATGGAATGCCCTAAAGTAATCAGGGTAAGTTCGTATGATTACGACATAATATTTGATCAATTATTTATTGCTGCATTCTACCAGTAAGCCGCTTTTCGATAAGCCTCATGTTCGGAGTCCAGTTATGCAAGCCAATCAGTACCTGCTGACCATGCAATAGTGATTTACAGCGTAGTAAACAAGTATTTCTGTGCATAGCCAAGGGGACTTCCTTTTCTCTCTTACTTCGATCTTTCCTTTTTCTGGGCAAAAAATTTATGTTTTATAAAAGATTTGAATGACGAGAATGCATAGTAGGGGATAGAAACTCAGGCCACTGGGGTGCGGAGGTATAGGCATCGGTTCGTCGCATTGTTTTGAGATGCCTGATTTTTTGCTCGGCTGAAAGTGCACCGGTTGAGTCCTAGCGACAGTTTGGAAGCGCCTGGTTTTCGTCGGCTAGCTGAAAAGGTGCCACCGGTTTGAGCTTACGACGCAGTTTGGCCTCTGACGCTGTTTTACTGGCCCCTTTTCGGAAGGGAAGCCTGATTTTGACACCAGCGTAGTCGGTTTTGGACTCGTCAAAACTGCGCTGGTGCCAAATCAGCCCCTTATTCTCAAGGTACCCAGTAGGTCGCGACAGCGAAAAAACGTTTCCACTGAAAATAAGTTTAAGCCTTGATTAGGGGAGGGGATACGAAAACGCTGACGACAGGTTCTTCCTTCTCCGCAGCTAAGTTACTGCTCAGACTTTGATAGAATTTCTTGCCGAAGTTGATTTGGCAAGAACTTGTGTCCGCGAGTGCTTCATCCTTAACATTCACCTGAAATAACTGGGCATCCGCACCGCAGGCACCGGATACCAAATTGGCGCATATTTCGTGGGGCTGTGAAAGGCGATCCCTGAAGTCTTGGTGAAACTTGTTCTAATTCACCACTCCTTCCTCTCACTAGCGTTAGTACCGTGCCGTCGCAGGGTTGTTAAACGTCGCCACCTGTTTCCATTGCAGCTTCTGCCGTAATTATTCTGAATCGCACCGTGGGCCACAAAAAACTACTTTCTCTTTCTAGTCTTCAGCTGCGTTTGGGCAGCGATGGTCAGTGAGAAAGGGCGTTGTTATCAGTTTCCGTCGCAGACGTTCGTTCCTAACAATAAGTCGCCAATTAGTTGCTACCATCCCTTTCAAATATCGCAGTAATCTAGCTTCCCTATTTCTCCAGGGTCACGAAACTGACTAACTATGCCGTGAGCGGCTTGCGTGACTGTCGGCAAAGAAGAAGAGTGAAGGAGATTGTGGGAGAGTTTGAACAAGTTGTCAATCACTTCGGTCATCAATCTTGATCCTACCAAACCCGATCGGAGTTCATCATTAACTCTCATATGCTTCTTGTCATCCACCCACTTCCTCGTATCTTCCTTCTTTCTTTTCTTTCTATACCATATCCATCTCAATATGCACTCTAGCCGCTGTCCTGCTTAGGCCAGCTTTTCAATCTTGAAACATCTCGACTACAGCTTTTTCATTTTGCGGAGTCTTTTCCTCGTCTCTCCTCATAAACGGATATTTCCTCGCCACAGCAACATCTGCGTTTTGGCGGAAATTGTCGTGCTGTTGTCGAACATATGTTGAGGATCGCGTATCGCAACAATTGCCGCCATTATCCACTCGAAAAAGAGCGTAGCAGTTTTCGAGCGCTCTGCTGTAGTGCATTCGAAACGATTTCAATGAGGTCAACAACAATTAGCCGAGCGTCCTCCACAAACATTGGGGTCTTCTTAATCAGCAGATGACGCCGTCGCTAGGAAATAGGCGCTTAGACGGGCACGCTCCCAAGCAATCTCTAAATATTTACAGTGGACTGCCTGCATGATGGCTCTTAAGATAGGCGAACCTACCCGGTATTTTTTTGGAAAGGTTCTTATCGTTTTTAGTTCCAGAAAAATTGTTACACACCCAGTTGTAAATAGTTCCCACTTTGTTTCGAAATGTTTTTGCAGGCATATTTCTGACAGAAGCGGAGGTGATGTAGTGACAAGTGGCGCGCCTATCATTCGCGCGGTCGTGGGTGCGGAATCACGGGCCGACTCCCGCCCAGGCCAATAGAGCCCTTCTATCCTCCGGGAACGGTAAGTAGGTACCTTCGTCTGGGAGGATAATAACACTGACTTGTACATCGGCTGGCCCCCGCAAGTCATTGTATAGGCCACATCGCATTCAATAAGCCACTACGATTCTGAATGGAAGTAGAATGCGTGCCGCATCCCACAAAGGGATTGATCAACGGCGATGACATTACCCTTTAGTTCTGACAAGTTAGCTTGAATTTATCTAATAAGAGGAGAAAGGGAAAAGCTGTCGACGTTGAATGGTCCTTTACCTTATGCGCCGCGCACTCTTCTTCTGTTCAAGTGGCCAAGCGCGGGAGGAATATGCGCGTTGGGGGTCGAACACTTGAATATCACGTCCGCAATTGGTAGGATCGCAATGCCAGCGGTTCTCACAAGCGGCGTGTTCGCATGCATGTGGTTGTTTCCTTCCTAAGTCGATTTCTACCCGATCGCCATTGGTAGAGCAAGGGAGCCGAACGCGGACTCAAACCGTGCTGCTCACGCCGCCTCCGACAGTCCGCAGTGATGAGGACTGTATGTGGCCTGCCGACAGGGAGAGGTAGGCAAGTATGTGCAATGCAAATAATTAAAAGAGCAGAGTCCAGAGCGCGGTATCTCTTTTCAAGCTAGACTTTCACGTTAAATTAAGTTTAGTGTGTCAATGACTACAACAAACACATCGTACAACAACTTACATTTGTCTGAACAGGGCAATGAGCCCGTCAGCAAACTGAGAGCTTGCTTAGCTTTGGTACATGATATTTCCATATCCTACAGATCCATTTCTCACTAAATGCCACTTCGATTTCGAATGGAGGACAAGTGCGTGGCGCGTTTCCGCTTCGTAGACAGGCTGATCAGCGCCTCCGTGTTACATCTCAAATTTTTCCCATTGTCAAAAACCATCCATGGAGAGGAATGCCTTCGCTGCAGTTGAAGCAGACGAAGCAGACCCTTGGATCAAAATCCGCGAAAAGAAAAAAAACAAGCAAAAAAACAGGAGACTGAAATATAAATATTGTGGCTGATGAAAAGAGAAAATCTTCGGGCTCTCCAATCGTGTAGGTCTGCACTTCAATTTATGTAGGTCTGAATGGAGTTATGTCCAATTTAAGGTCAAAAACTTGCTAGTGCAGAACATTTTTACCTTATTTCAGAACTGGTCGCTACGCAATCTGCTACAGCTTTAACGGGCAGGGTTGGCACGAAATAAATCGCTATACAGGTGTAGGATTTGTACAACTGGCTTAAACAGAATTCCGTGACCTCGGACAGGCGCTGCGTGAAGCCTTTTCCAAGGAGGGTACCTCTATAACGCCCTATTGAGCAACAACTTTACGTCCCAAACGCCTTCCTTGCCCGCCCGCCCACAAACGGACGACCGTTTCTGACGCTCGTATTCATTCATTTGCTGAGCAAATTATGAAGCAAAGGGATTGGTATGAAGCGGCGGTGATGCTGCAGCGCATACAATGCAGCCGTATCTTCGGTAGCGGTGATTGGCAAGATGCGTACGGGAAACTCGTCCGAAATCGATTTACAAGTCACTGAGAACGAGGGCTTTTTCTTCGCCGGATTTTGACCGTTTCACTCCGTTCTTTCGCCATTTCCCCACTATATAGCTCCCTACTAGCATTTTAGGCTAAGGTAGGAAACCCATTGCGTGGCCAACCCCCCCCCCCCCCCTGCTTTGACGTACAGCATAAGGTAGAGCCTTATCATCTTACAAATTTTGAGCAAGCTTCTGTGGATGAAAGCGATAAGCCGTTGGTTTAGGCATTTTCTTACTCAGGCTATTCCTAGAACGCTCTTCAATCACTGGTGCTAATTTGCCTCCTAAGCAAAGAAGCCGGCTGCATATGTAATAATCTGAGCCAATGAGTTAGCGGGTGTGGGCGAATATGGGGCGTGGCAAGAACTTTCAATGTAAAGGATTATTTTTTATCTCACAAACCGTGAAATGATTCGCTGATAACGCCCGTAAAGAAATGAGTGAACGAGATCTAAATCTATAACCAGCGTTTTGCATGGATACGCTTTAATCTTTTATAAAATGCTTGATAAGTTTTTCAGTCGGCAAACTTTTTGTTCACCGGCAAGTACTGTTCCTTGTAGGAAATGCCATGACAACTCAGGGACAGGTCATATTCCGGGGTAAGGCGAAGGTGCCTCCCTAGGAGTTGAGGGAATGGATATTGCATACAGGTACAGCATCGCGATGCGTGAAATGGTCGGTCAGTGCGACCCCCTCCCCCAGGGAGGGTCTACTTAAATAACTTTCCCAACACCTACCAACCAATTCCCCTTATTTTCAAGTTTTCCAGCCAAGAATTTTGCTGTCGAGGGGGATGGGGTATGTACATAGTACATATGAAACAGGAAAAATCACGAAAAGTCAACAACCGGGAAAAATGTTTCTCAACATGGAAAATTTCTCTCAAAGCAACATACGCACCCTTCCCCAGCGTCAAGCACGTCTACCCCCATGTTTCACGCAAGATGCTGTACCCTGATTGCATATCAACAGGAGAACGTAGTAGCGTTCTAGCCCTGCGTCGACTAGAGGTGTTTGTCACTTAGAGAAATAAATCAGAGCTGTAAAAAACGAATGCTTCTTTGGGGAATCGAGTCAATCCAGCAGGTCAGATCGTATAACACTATATTACTCCAATTTTTTGCAGAGCTCACAGTGCCCACACCTCCCTCCCCCCCCCTTTAATTGTGACTTTTGTGACCGTTCTGAAAATGTTTCGTGTGTCGGCCACTGAACTGTTCTCTTAACCACACGACCAGCCAACATCTATTTCCTTTTATTAATAGGATTCATTGTTCTGAAGACCGACTGTAGTCAACGAGTTAGAGAGGAGATACAGTCTTGATTGCTGCGGACGATGTTCCAGGGATGTTCCGGCGTTCCAGGGACTGGGTCTGGCGCGGTACCAAACCATTCCACCGACAAATTGGTGCACAATAGGCGTGGGCCCCACCAAACTCAGCGCTTCTCTACATTTCCTTTACTTGAGCAAACTAGTTCTACTGAAACGACTACTCTGAACTAATTGGAAAGAGCATGAACAAGCAGAAGTCCGCGATCATATAACAACGGCGTACTCTTTGCTGTGCGTTTCTGCTCAGGTAGTAGTTTTGGTCTCTGGAATCCATAGAAAACCCTTCATACTTCTGCAGCATCCGGACATTCGTAGTCGATTCTGCACAGTAAATAATGTAACAG